CAAGCAGCTCGGAGTAGCTCATTGGTATTGTAATTCAACAGAGTAATGTAAGCCTCATGTTCTCCAAGTGATTTACAACTTATAATGGTGTGAATAGTAGCTAGACATAGATTCAAAGGGCAATAAAATTTAAGTATAAATAAATGTATACTGTTATGGAGTTTAAAGTTACTTAGGATAAACAAATAATTTCATGTTACAATTTGAAGTCATTATAGAAAGAGAAAAAGGGTAATTATTTTTTCTATCCTAACTTGCGAGCTGCTCATGAGCATACCTCATAAAATTTTTTTATTATATTATTATTATTATTCATTTTACCTAATCTAATGTTAACTAACCTGAATTTTTTCTATTTTTACATTTTAGTTTCTCTTATAATAATAGTAATAATAATAATAATAAAGAATACACATGAAAAACAAGAAATGAAATACTTACGTGAGCCTGATTTTTTTGTTGTCAACTGTCAATGACACTTAACCCTACTTTTTTATACAAATGGTAGTAGTGCACTAGATAACTTTTATTCAATTAAATAATGCACCAAAGAACATAGAATAATAAATGCAAAAATCAGGCATTGTCCCATAACTATCACAATTTTTCTGGCTTTCTAACTATGTGACAAGAGCTGTTACAAATTTATCTAAGCTAGTCGATGTATTTTCCTGTGCAAATAAAGTTTGAATTGGGAGTGAAAAACAATTTTCTGTACAGAAAATAACATAATCCAATATGTCATTTGACAGATTAAAATTCGGCTTTCTGTTGGTTATAAATAATAGAGTATTGAATGTTAGAGAGAACTATTGACAAATCCTGAAAGAGAGAATGTGACAGGTGGATGTGGCAAGAGGGATCTGTTTTTCTATTTGATGGCTATGTAACCAAACAAAATTGAAGGGTATGAAAATTATGTTTTGCCAGAACAATGGTGACATTATTATGAATAATTTACATAAAATTTTGTACTTCTTGGAGGGGTAGTAAATAAAGATGCCTATAAAGAAAATGTCACAATTCTCACACTAGAGGTAATTCGGGATTTTATTTTGTATATTTCCATGTAAAATTAAAAGATAAATCTTATATACTATTAAAATATGGATTGTTTGCTATTTTTGTATGCTATACTTATTGGTATACCTGAAAAAGAAAGTAGTTTGATTAAATTTTGAATGTAACTCGCTAAAAAACCTCATGACGTGCAGAAAAAGATGCCTGTCGAGAGGCAGTTAACATTTGTCTATAATTCCCCACAGTTATATACACTGGTAGTTCCTGTCTTAAGAAGTTACAGTAACCACAACTAAGTACATTAATATTTCATGTATTGACAAGCTACAGTTAACCACAACTAGATAAATGACAGCTCGTGTATTTATAAGGTAGAATTTACCTCAACCAGATAACACTGACAGTTCAGATGTGGATAAGCTACAATTAAGAAAAACTAGACATACTATATTGGTAAGATAGAATTTGCAACAAATGGATGTATTAACAAGCAGTTACTACCACAACTATATACAATAACAGTTCCTTTACTCACAAGCTAATATTCCCCACAACTATATACAATAACAGTTCCTTTACTCACAAGCTAATATTCCCCACAACTATATACAATAACAGTTCCTTTACTCACAAGCTTATATTCCCCACAACTATACAAAATAACAGATCCTTTACTCACAAGCTAATATTCCCCACAACTATACAAAATAACAGATCCTTTACTCACAAGCTAATATTCCCCACAACTATACAAAATAACAGATCCTTTACTCACAAGCTAATATTCCCCACAACTATACAAAATAACAGATCCTTTACTCACAAGCTAGAATTCACGACATTCAGTTGCACTGACTGTTCATGTGTACCACAACCAGGTATACTGACAGTTTTAGAATTCACCACAGTGATACAATAGCTGTTCATATATTAACAAACTGCAACTGACCAAAACTAAATTTATTGAAGTTGAAGTATTGAACAAGCAACAGTTCATCACACCTAGCCACTGGTGTTTCCTACATTGATGATTGAAAGTTGGCTAATGTTACTCCTCTTTTCAAGGGAGGTGATAAAAATTGTTCCAGTAACTGTAGACCTATTAGTCTTACATCAGTGGTGGGAAAGTTTGTTAAAAATCATTTAATAACATAGGTCTGGAAGTTTAAACTTCAGAAAAGTTGTTTTGGTTCTAATAACAGATTTTCGAAAATTCAGCTATGCAGATTTTGAAAATAATATTCATCTTTTTTCTTTCACATAAGGATTTTTTAGAAATTGTGAAGAAAAAAAGAACTCTTAATTCAATCAAATTATTATTTCATTTACCACAATTAACATTTCTTATTATTATGTTTGTTAACAAAAATACAAACAAACTGAAGAAAAGGGAAGAACATTGATGTCAAACGAATATGCATCCTCATTCCTCCTGATTTTTGTGTGTGTGTGTGTGTGAAATCTATGTATTACGTCTGAAGTATCTCGTTTCAAATACCAGCTGATGTTCCACCTTCCATGATACCTCCTCTCCGTTTCCCTGATGTCTTGATGAAACCTTTCCAGACATTTCAGGTTGAAAACAATCTCTATTATCATTTCTATTTGCACCAGATTCAGAATCAGATGAAACTATATCAGGACTCCTTGGTGGAGTAGGTCCATCAGCAACAGGTCTTTTAGCAGATTGAAGGTTCAGATAAAAAATTTCCTTTATATTTTGAGTGTTGTAGCCTTGCACGTTATAATAAACGTAACATAATTTGAATTATGAGTATGACTTTGATGGGAATAACTATAGCAGAGTTATGAAAGTAAAGGATCTTGGTGTTCTAGTTGATCAGTCTCTTAAGCCGTTTAAACAATGTGCTGTTGGTAGTGGCAGAGCGAATAGGATTTTAGGTTATATCTACAGAGGTATTGAATACAGGTTTAAAGAGGCTATAATTTCATTGCATAGGTCATTGGTTAGGCCACATTTGGGTATTGTGTTTAGTTTTGGACTACTTACCTTAGGAAGAACATTGACTTGGAAAGGATTTAGAGGAGGGCTACTAGGATGATATATGGGATGGAAAGGTTGTCATACAAGGACAATTTAAGAACTCTGAAATTGTTTTCTTTTTTTAAAAAAAAAAGAGTTAGAGGGGGATCTGATTAATTTATTTAAGATTGTTAAATACATCATTTTTCATATTTAATGGTGAGAATGGTAGGACTAGGGGACATAAATACAGATTTTGGCAGGGTAGGAGTTGTTTTCAGCTGAGACAGCTTTATTTTTCTATTTGAATGATAAGGACTGGTTTTGAGTGTTTTATTTTCTTTTAAAGTTTAGTGTATGGGATGGTCTAGATGACCAACAAGTCACTTTTTGTCCTTAAATTATATGTAATAGTTATACTGACAGTCCATCCATGTCTTTTACAAGGTGCAGCTCATCATAACAAGATACACTGACAGTTGATATATTGACAAGCTACAATTCAAACAACTAGATATGCCAACTATCACTTCCTTGACAAGTTTCCAAACAGTACAAGTAGGTACACAGACTATCCTTGTCTTGGTTAAAGCACCAAAAGATACAGATAGATATTCTAGGAGTTCCTGACTTGATAAGTGAAAAACTTACCATATTTTTGTAATGCATTATGGTTTTTCTTGGAATTAACCCTGGAATTAAGTCTCCCAATGGCCTATTTTCATGTTTTTGTGCTGTTTCTTTAGGATCAGTATATCTTTATCCACGATGCTTTGCTCGAGGCTATTGAGAGTGGAGATACTGAAGTTTCAGGGAACCAACTGCCTCGCTACATCCAGATGCTACAGACAGCTGATAGTGTAGATGGAGAGAAGGGCCACTGGCCTTTACTGGAAAAACAGTTTAAGGTGAGGGGGAATATTAACATAGAGCAGTAAGTAAGTGATAAAATGATAAAAATACAAGAGTAAGCTGAATGTAAGTTTGTTTTTCATGTTTTTCCTTAGATATGTAAATAAATATTTTGTTTATCTTGTTGAAAATAAAAATATATTTGCTCATTTAGGATATCAAATACCATACCATGACCAGCTATATGCAATTTGTAGATATACCAGTTCTCATCATCCAAATCAGTTTGAGGGCAAACAGTTATCTAATGTATTTTATAAAATGAGACGTGTCAATTCATTGTTTTGCTTTACAACCCAAATGCTAATTTTAACTATATAACTACAGTGCTAGGTACATTGCACCTACTATGTAACCACCAAAGTAACCATGACATTAATCATACTATGACTTTTGATAATGAATGCATATTTTCACAATATTTTGCAGACTATCAGCTAACATTACAAGGTATTTGTACACAAAGTATCAGAATTATTAATTAAGCATTTAATTAAAGATTTGCTCATGAACGTTTGCTTTTAAAATGTTGACTATCCAATATGCAAAATAATTTTGATTTTAAGATTAAATATACTTTTATTCATCTGAAAATTGTCTGAACTCATAACTACTATAAATTATTAGAAAATAAATCTAAATTACCATTTTTCTGTTTTCAAATAACTGCAAATTATAACAGGAAACCACAAATGTTTATTCTAAATAGCTTAAATCTCATAATAATACACATCTATTTATCTTTATTGATTCTTTGTTTTGTTGACCTTTGAATCATGTCTAACTAATAATCCTACCACACATGTTGTAAGTCATGTGCAGCTCATGTTACTTTGTTGAATATCATAAAACTGACTTTTACAAAATACAATTGTCTTACTCTTCTTATTCTTAGTACTAGTGTACCAGTATTTTGTGAAATACAGTGACATTTCAGTTAACACACTTTACATATGTATAAAAATTATTATTATTTACAATAAATTCATACATTTCAGTTATTTTTCTTAAAACATTGATTTTTTACTAACGATGTTATGAAGTTTTTGTACTTGTGTATTGTACTTCCTAAGCCTCTTTGAATTTTGCACGTGGAGCATATAAAAAATAATTTTTGGAGGTTTTACATGTGCATCTTCGAATAATAATGAATTATAAATTACTATTCCATTACCACAAAAATCCACTGTAATTGATCAGGCTTCCTAACTAAGCTGTAGTTGGGTTTAAAAAATCTAATTTCTGATATGAATATTACCTTGATCACCACACATCAAATTCTCCAACAGTTATAATGACTTTATCTGTTTACGTACTTTAGCATGACTGACAGGATTACGAGTGCTTTTCATTGGTTATAATCATGTATTTGAGAAATAGGCATAGGTAAACAAGTGTTTTCAAAAGAGGAAAAGGTGAGTGGAGCCACTGTGGTGGGTTCTTTAAATATAATGAAATCGATATCTTGGCAAATAGAAAAATTAGGAGGTTTTTATTTTATATTCTAGCTTGTCAATATTGATAATTTGAGTTTCTAATTCATTATAAACTATAGACTTTACATCTTATGATGCCCACAATATAATCTGAGTAAAAGCAGAAGATACTGTACCATGTGACACACAAAATAATAGTTTAGCAATTTTTTAATATGTACTTTTGAATAAAGAAATTAAATTTGTATGATACTAAAATATATTTTATAAATTACAATTTGATTCCAAATTTATGGACATACATTAAAAAAATAGTAGTGTAATAAAAACAATTTGAATGTAAGTCTGCAAAATGTGATAACATGCTCTCTGATCCCTACCTGTATGGAAAGAGTTAAATAGCATCAAACACCTTTTCAGTTCGAAAGAGCAGAGAAGTCTATTTTTGTTAAGTAGTTTTATGGGTTTTAAGAGTTTATGAGTGGAAGTAAAAAAAGAATGCATAACAAATTATTCTTTGTGTGAATGATGTTTTTAAACCATGATGGGTGTTGAATAGATTTTGTGGAAAGGTTGCTTGCTTGTCACAAAAAAACATTCTGTTTGGTTTAATATTTGTTTGAGATGGCAGGAAATATTGATTCTAATGCAATAACTTACATTAGTTTGACACAGTGTTACTTTATGTATTTTTCTAAATGCAACACTGCACTTTCTTCATATTCAAAACTAATTGTATAAAATAGGGGGGGGGGTACATATGCTGTAATGTATGGTGTTGTTGATGGGGAAATATTTTAACAAAGTTTAAAAGATTGCAAGTTTTAGGTGATAATACTAAAAAGGTTTTTGGTACCTTTAAGAAAGTTAGTTTTATAGCATAATGACTTAGTGTAAAGTTACATATCTCTGTTTCTGTGCTTTTAATAACCAAAAATAACAACCCTAAAAACAAATGATTCCAACAGATCTTGTTAAGCTTACTAAGATATTTTTTATTTTTGTTTTGTCAGATCAATATTGTAACCTGTATAAATAATAACCATGACCTTAGACAAATTTTGGATTGGGAAGCTTAAACAGAGCATAAAAATGATACTAATAAATTCACTGAGTTATGTTGTTTTTTTGTTGCAGTTGGTGACAGCATACAAACCTAAAGACTTCAGTCTAACATCTGCAATGAAGTCTTGCAATAAGTTGAAGAACCGATCTCTAGATTTATTACCTATGGAGTCATACAGAGTCCACATCACTCCAAAACCAGGAACAGATGGTTCAGATTACATTAATGCTACTTTCCTTCCAGTAAGAGCTAGAGATTATTTTTAGAATCATGTTGGATTGTGTTTCATTGAAAGAGTTGTGGAAAAACTTGAAGTTAGAAATTCAAAGTAGATGTGTTTTTGTATTACATAAACTACTAGCAGAGTACCCGGTGTTGCTCGGATACAAATGGCTTTCACTGACTTATTTCTTTATTTACATACTAATTTATTGATATACTGTAAAGCTTCTTTGTACACAATATTTTTTCTTGCTGTCAAGGAGCAAAGAAGAAGAGATTATGAGCAGAGAAGCAAATGAAAGCTCCATGAAGTTTTTAAGTCATTTTAACACATAATTGATCATAGACAGAATGATTAGGAGAAGTTCTCACACAGAGAAGAAACGTAAATAATAGCCTTCTTGATCTCACATTACCAAAAAAATCCAGCCTTTTCAATTTGGGACCAATTGGTCATCATGTTTGCCAAAAATTGCTATATTGATCACTTTGGCTTCAATTTGCACCCTTAAAATGGCCACAGCCACATAGCCCATTACTTCCCACACAATGTTCTAACTGTACCCAAGTTTGGAGTTTGTAGCTATAAAAATGTAGCCATGCATAAGGAACAGACCAACAGAGAGAGAGAGACATTCACATTTATATATATATAGTTTAGAAACTGTGTTGTATACAGAGTTCAGAAAGTGTCTTATGTGGTTTATAAATAATTATCTTCTACCAGATCAAGTAAAACAGCTGTATTTCATTAAAGGCAAATTTATAAACTGAAATTCTTGAACTTCACTCATAGGGTTTCAACAAGCTGCGGGAATTTATTGTGACACAGCATCCAGCTTATGATAGCATTGCAGACTTCTGGCAGATGGTATGGGACCATAACTCCCAAACAATTGTCCTGTTATCACCAGTGGATGAAAAGGTACAGATTGAAGTCTGATTATCAGAATATTTTGTTAAAAAAAATATATAATCATCATGTAAGTTGTTTCACTGTTTTGTTTGGAACATTTTAATTTTGAACTGTTTTTCTGTTCATACCTTAACCACCAAAAGAGGTATATTTAAAAGTCCTATATTAGATAGTGTTTCTAATGCTTGTTTCTCAAAGCCATGGTAGTTACAGATTCCGAGTCTTAAAAAAATATAATAACTTCACAAAGACTGTTGCAAACAACAACAGAAAAATTTGAAGGTCTTAATGCATTATAGTTATTGATTCTGTCATATGAAAAACTGATAGTTAATCTGTCTGTTCTTGTAACGAGTGATGTGTTCTATAAAAGCACATGATGATATTTGATGTATTAATTTTTGCTGTCAGTTGCACATTGTGCATTAATCCACCAAACAGGATATACTTTTTTTAAGTATGCACAACATTTTGGCATAATACCTCATCATTCATTTCATTATATAAATCTTTTTTTTTGCGTTTTTTTTCTAACTATGAATAATTCAGAAAATTTTTAAAAGGAAAGTGGTTGCAAGATTTGTTCTGTAAAACAAAGATGGTGGTTTTACTTACCATTTTTTTTTGTAGTAACAGAATTAGTATTGTAAAAATACATTACATTACTTGAAATAAAATGTTTTCTTTGATTTTTTATTTTATTTTCTGGGAAAAATAAACCATAACATTATAAACAAGTCATAGTTTCAACTATATAACTTTAAGTTTTTATGATTATACTATATGTCCTTGGTGATTTACTTGCAAAAATGTTTTTATAGTAGTATGATTTTTATCACAAGTTTTTGAAAAGTATTGTTTTCTTTTCAGGTAATATCCATCTTTCTGGCCAGGAAAGGATGAAGAGCATGATTATAGCACGTTTATTGTGAAGCTGACTGAGGAGTGTTCTCAGGAAAACTTCATTACAAGGGACTTTATTCTTCAGGCTGTTGAAGATGAGTATGAAGTGATGTGTCGGATTATACAATGTGCTGGTTGGCCAGAGTCCTGTTCTCCACTCAGTAGTGTGTTTGATCTGATTAATGTAGTTCAAGACTGGCATTTGGAATACCAGAATGGGCCTATGGTGGTCATTGATAGGTGAGTAGATCCAATTAGATGTGTATATCAAACTGGTGTATTTAAGTGTTTTACACTTACAAAAAATAAACCTATCATTCTATGGGTATTTGAAGAACTTGTAGCATTCCGCCACAATTTAATTCTTTGTATTGTTAGCCGTTTAAACAACTCTATATATTCAGTTATGTACAAACTGCCCAGTGTGGCTAACAATACAAAGAGATAAGGTTGTGTATGGTGAGTAAATGATACAACTGAATGCATACCAAACTGTACAGTCTGATCATTACTAGTTGTATGCAAGTACTCAGTTAGTCATACACTTTTTCACACATTCTGTGGCACATATATAAACAAATAATGTAAATTTATTCATATTCCCTATTGTAACTTGTAGTGGTAGAAGGTGTAAGGAAGAAATAGTGATTTTTATGTAACCCGTTTCCAGCCGTGGCCATTTTGTCTTATCGTGAGGGCAAAATCACATTTGTGAATTGAAAAAATGATAGAGAACTTATCTTTTATTGTATTTCAGATTTTATTTTTGTAAATAGTAGAATAAAATTCAATTATTTGTACAAGTTTGTATTATTTAATGTAGTTTAAAGAGGAATTTGATGAAAAAATTCCTAAAATACGTTTTAGACTGTAAATAAGCGCCCTCTAAAAAGAAAATTTTTTAAGATATTTCCTTCCACTTCAGCACTGGTCCTGCCATCTATGATTGGTGTCTAAACCTTTTTCTAGTCTGTTTTCTTTATAGAACTGCGTCTGGGCATGTT